TTTCTGCACAATTTGGCTAAAAACTTTTGCGCTAAAGTCGCTATTTTTACCCTACTAATCACGTTACAAAAAATAAAAAAATAAATAAGTAAAAATAGATATATACCTATTGAATATTCGATTTACTCAATGACACATTATATGGTGTATATAAGTGATGTAGGCACATTTGTATGTCTATTCCTGCAACATATGAGATTGCTTGAATACCATATCATTAAGTATCAAGTTTACAGTAAAGTGTGCTACTTTATTAATGTTAAGATGCTGACTTAGCAAACGCTTTAATACAACCATAGCAGACTTGGAGTCAGCTTAATCAATTTTTTTAATGTTATCTGAGCAAGTTAAAATGCTAACCTAACATACAGAGAGATGCATCCTTAACAATCAATTTGCTGCACAGGCATATAGGGAATGTTAACTTGACAGCATGGTTTCCTGTTTCAACAGATTCAATGACATGAACTTGACAGCGTTGGTTGCTGTTTCAACAAATACAAAGACGTTATCTTGATAGTATGGTTTGCTGTTTCGGCAGGTATGAGTCACTGAGATTGGCAGCGTGAGTAGTTGCTTGAACAGACGTAAGGATGTAAATTTAACGTCGGGGTTTGCTCCTTCAGTAGACAAGAAGATGTAAACTTAACACCCTGCCCGGCTGTTAATTTAGGTCTTAGGGTTGTCGCGCGGATTTTCAACATCCTAAATCTGTAAAGTCAACATCCTTGTTGTTGACCTCGCATTTTTTTTTTCGGTGATGATCTTGATCGCGGTGATGATGCTTCCTTGTCGTCAGACTCTGATACCGAAGCTAACCTAGGTCTCTCCTCCGAGGTATTAAATAATCTGTTAGGTGAGTGGGTAGATGTTGATAGTGGCTCAGATTTTGAGGATGTTGAGTGCGAACTAGAGGAAACCATCAGTCATTTACCAGATCATCCAGAACCAAAACGAGATAGCTACCATGAGTTGAAGCATAAGCTAGCGGCATGGTCTATGAATAAAAATATTAGTAACGCTGCTATTGATGATCTTCTGAAAATTTTAAACAGTCATCCCAATCCGTCAGACTTTAAACTCCTCCCAAATTGTGCGCGTACTTTGAAGAAGTGTCCTCAGAAACCTAAAGGAGTTACTCCCGATATAGTAGCACCTGGAGAGTATATGCATGTAGGTGCCGAACGGTGTATCCGTGCGATTTTGAAGAACGTCCCCCCAGAAATACATATAAAGATTATTGAGATCATGGTAGGAATTGATGGTTTACCGATAACTAAAAGTTCTCTTAATCAAATTCATCCTATTCTTATCCGTATTTTGTCAGTCTTCTGTGTAAAGCACCATGTAGTTCCAACAGGCATTTATCATGGCTATGCCAAGCCAGACTCTGCCGTTGATTTTCTGAAACGATTTGTCGCAGAAATCTCAGGCTTCATTGAAAATGGTATTGAAATTAATAATGCTGTGGTTCCTGTTAGAGTCAAGGGGTTTGCAATGGATGCTGTTGAAAAAAGTTTTGTCTTAGGTACGCCTGGCCATAGTGGCTTTTGGTCTTGTATTCGTTGTGACGTAAAGGGTAAAAAAAAATTTGGCAGGGTTTATTTTCCTACCAAAGTTGGCAATCCTAGAAGTCACCAAGATTTCATTGATAAAAAGGATCCCAATCACCACAAGTCGCCCTGCGGCATTGAAACTATTCCGCATTTTGATATTGTGCGAAATTGTTCCGTAGACTATATGCACCTGGTACTGTTAGGAATTATGAAGAAATCTTTGTTAAAATATTGGCTGGAAGGATCTCTTGAAACTGAGAAGTTAGAGGATGACTTGATAGATATCATTTCTGGAAGACTGTTAAGATTTAAGTCGTGGAAAACAAGTGACTTCTCCAGGTATCCGAGAAGTCTTGCAGACGCATGCCGATTCAAAGCGACTGAATGTAGGTTTTTCCTCTTGTATGCAGGACCAGTGTGCCTGAAAGATAAACTACCAAGTAAAATGTATAGAAATTTCCTTGTTCTGCATGTTGCAATGTCCATTCTTTTAAGTGCTCAAAGCTCGCTCCCTCTCCTAGATTACGTCCAAAAATTGCTCGAAAAATTTGTGAAAGACTTTTCTTCAATTTACGGGAAGTATCATGTTTCTTACAATGTCCATGGTTTGCTCCATCTATGTGAGGATGTCCCTACGTTTGGTAGCATAGAGGATGGTAGTGCTTTTGTAATGGAAGATGAATTGTTTAAAATGAAACAAGAGATTAGAAAAGCCTCCCAGCCGCATATCCAAGCGGTCAACCGATTGGAAGAAACATTTGAGTTCTGTCCCCTAATGCCTAGGATTGTTAGCACTGATTTACAGTACAAAATGGGTCATAAAAATGGTCCTCTCACTGAATCCTGCTCCAACCCACAGTATAAAGTTGTTGAATTCTCTTCGTTTTCCTTGAAAACTTCCAAACCCAATTGTTTTTGTTGTGTAGGTGACAGCAACATTGTCTCTATTTCTAATATTTGTTATAGTAACGCTCATCAGGAAATGGTTTTAGTAGGGAGAAAATATATTTACGTTGGGAACTTTTATGTTAAGCCGGTTCCTAGTTCCTCTCTCGGTATATATCTTGTGAAATCAGAGCTTTCAGGAGAGCTGGAAATTTGGCCAATATCCTCTGTCTGTCATAAAATAATGCTCCTTCCTTGTGGTCAAGATTTTGTTGCTTTCCCTGTTCTACACACAGTGAAAGTTGATGATAAGTAATGAGGTTCTATCGACTTTTGTATTTTGTGTAAATATTATCGTTTGTTATGTTCATAATGAGAATCAAGATTCAGTGGTTTTGGTCAGATTGTGGTTTCCTCGGCTGGTTTGCATTTATCGTTGTAAAATCTGCCGAAATTGATTGGTGTTTTTTTTTTTTTTTCCTCTCTCTCTGAAAAAAAGAAAGGAGAGAAAATCTACTAAGTAATTAACGTAGTTACCTATATAAGCATTTAAGCACGACTTGATTTTTTCTTTCCCTCTCTAAAGACTCTCTTCAATCATAGTTGATCGGTCAATCAAACTTTTCACATGTTAAATCGTTTAAATGAACTTTTAAAATCCACTCTACTACGTACCCCGTGCAAAGTAGAAAGTAAAGTGTTTTTGTATAAAATGAATTTCATGAAATTATTTTTTTTCCACGTCCTCTTCTCTTTCTGACCAGGGGCTCAGGCGAAATGGAACTTCAAATCATTCTATTCTACTCTATCTAATTTCATACTTTTTTCTTCTTTTTTGGTAGGTACAAAATCTTCTCTTTCTCAACAGCATTGAATCCCCTATCATCTGTTTCTGTCTGTTGTTCTACAGCTGTTGTGGCGAGATAAAATGAAGTCCTCACAGACTGAAAGGTAAAATACATGCAAAATTTTCAACCTGTTAATAGTGTTAATACTTTCCTTGATGAAACTGAAGAAGGTTCAACAAAACAATGATGGTATCATGTAGCATTACCTATTCAGCTTTGCCGTCAAGCGAATAATTGGCTTTTCTTACTTTTAAGAAACATTTTATCGGATCGCATTTAACAAAAAGGAACCAGTGTGATTGCAGTGTTTTCAAAATCGTGCAACTTCTTGTTTTCTTTTACAAAGTACTAAGTACATGTACAGTATTAATACTTACACAATTATTTCCCTTTAAACTTAACAATTTTTGGATGGGATGCAAAAACTATTTGCTAATTTGGAAGATTTTTTAGATAATTATGAAGAAGCAACATTTTACCAACAGTGGAATAGTGCTGGTTCCTTATTGCTAAATGCAATCCAATTTATGTATGATTGGCAAATATTAAATATGTTCAGATCTTTTTCATTTCACCAATCTATCACTCCAAAAGTTCATAGACCGTTTAAAAAATCCCGAGAACAAGTACTATTAGAATTTGATGGTGCAAGCATGATCTTGGTGAATAATTTGATTGAATTTTGCAAAACGGAACCAAGAGCATTCCAATGTCGCTAAGATGGTGCAACTTCCTTTACCTTGCAAATATAAACTGATCGTCTAAACAAGTTTAGTCTTTACTCCCAATAATTTAAAAATTCAAGACATCAATCACCTTTGTAAATTTAATTTTTTGCACGATTTCGGTAATTTTATTGCAAAGAATTTAAGTTGCACAATCCTAGCAACATTGGAACGCTCTAGGTTCCTCTTTGTTAAATGCAATCCATTTACTCAGTCTCTCATACATTTCAGCATAAGCTACTGTTAGCTCCTGCAGTTGTTGAAATTCAGCTTTCTCTTCTCCTTTCTTCGAATAAAGCTTTATAGTCTTCTTGAAGAGTATAAGAACTCATGTCACAAGACAGGCTGTTTCAAATACTTTATTTTAATTCTACCTGGTTTTGTTGATTCAGCTTATATCATATTGGGGCATGTGAAGACGATTCTGGACGAGAAGAGATAACAATCATACCCACAAATTGGATATTTGCAAAAGGGTTTTGCGTTTGGCCAACAAAAGCTCCGAATAAAAATACATCAAAGTTGATTTGTAAAAGAATTGACCATCAAGCCACTGATTATGGTTGGATTGAATGCCGATATCGGCCATTATACACAGAGATTTGTAAGTATACCTCAAAAATTCAAGTTATTTAATCTTGTAATGCATGGTGAACTGTTAGTTCAGGGGTGGTACATAGTTTATTCTTTTCAAGGGGATTGACGACTCAGGTCTTGAACTTGGGGCAATCTTTAAACTTAAAGATCTTTTTTCCTTCTGAAAATCCAATTAGCTACTGGCAGGGGTGAAGAGAATTGAAGAAAATTTATAACCACACAACTTCAGCTTTCCAATGATTTACCGGAGTTTAAAAAATCACCATTAAGAAAAACATAGTGTTGCCACACATACGGCATATTTTGCTGAGTCGTAAAAATGTTGTGCTTAAGCCTAAACATTGTGGAACTTGGACATTTTTATCACAGTCTGAGTCATCATTTTAAATTTTGTTGCATTTAGAAGGTCAAAATATCAACTTTAAGCAAGCTGAGTTCTGTTTTGATCAAGCGTCTCAGTCCAAATTTATCGCAAGATCGGAGTTAAGCTTTATGAATAAAGTTTCAAACATAGATTGGAAATTGTCGGTCGTGGGAAGCTGTGTACGCACCACAATGAAAGTGGTGATTGAATATTTTTGGTAGCGAAACTATCAATGCAAGTAGATTGTTTTGTGAGTGTTATAGGACAGAATTTATGCTGGTGCAAGCTTGAATGTAGAGAGATCTCTTCCTAATTTGAAATATAATTTAAAACTAGAGATTCGATGGTCTTGTAATAACTCTGGACGGAAGCGTCTAGTCAAAACTGCTATCAACACTAATGAAATAGATCTTTCAATTGCACTTAAGTCCACTAAGATATTCCATAATCTGGTGCATGCGCACATCTTTTAAATGTTACAACCTACTAGCCGCAACATTCCCTTACAATATCTCAGTAGTATATGTTGCAGGTCAGGTCGTTGTTTTAAGTTGTCATATGTCTTAAAAATTATTCGATTTCACTCCTTTTCAATTTCTGCAACAGAGCTGGATGTAAAATGATATTTTGAACATCCTCTGTATTGTTGCCAGTTTCACAATCATTCCTCATTTTTTAATGTGACTCAGAGATTTCATTCATCTCAGTTCTGTAAGGCCTGGACCATTCTGAGCAAGTTACGTCTATCATCAAGAAAGTTTATGTTGTCAGGGCAGTCTTTACATCTTTAAATACAAAACAGTCAATATTTCATCCTTGCAAGTTGCTGAAATGTACCTTTGAATTCTCAAGGTTTGAGAATTAAAATTAAAAAAAGATAGTTAAAATAGAAAAGTAAAATTCATCTGACAAATTATCATTTAAATAAAAAAAAAGAAGAAAAAATTTTCATTGTTGAAGGATTTTAATTTAATATCTTTGTTTTAGATTCCTACGAAGATGCTCTAAAATACGAGAGGGAAGCAATCGAAACATCGGACATAGGCACGCCGGAAAATCCTACAAGAAAAAAGTTTGCCCCGAATAGATTAATTTCTTCAAGTTCAGATGATGAAGACTCTCCTTACCCCGTAATTCCAGACTCCCTAAAGGGTACAAAGCTTAAGGGATCCGTGAAACAGAACCTCTTCCCTCAACTCAATGATGCCTCGTTGACCTCCAATGATGATGCCACTGAAATAGTGGAAAATGAGCACTTAGAAAGAACGCCTAAAAGAAGAGCTGAGAAAGTACTATCTCCACCAAAATCTACGAAAAAAACTAAAATCTCTAAGGTTAATCATGTCGCCAAAGAAGATGACTCTATGCTAGAAACTAAGACCTCTGGACCATCAGCAAAGGAGATGTCCCAACCAGGCGTAGAAAAGAAGACCGCCCCATTGATCTCCGATAAAGATGCCACCATGAGAGTGGCTAAAAAAAGAGTCGAGAAAGAATTGACTCCACTAAAACCTATGAGGAAAACAAAATTCTCTAAGGTTAATCATGTCGCTGAAGAAGATGACTCTATACTAGAAACTGAGACCTCTGGACCATCAGTAAAGGAGACGTCCCAACCAGCCATAGAAAAGAAGACCGCCCCATTGATCTCCGATAAAGATGCCACCATGAGAGTGGCTAAAAAAAGAGTCGAGAAAGAATTGACTCCACTAAAACCTATGAGGAAAACAAAATTCTCTAAGGTTAATCATGTCGCTGAAGAAGATGACTCTCTGCTAGAAACTGAGACCTCCGGACCATCAGTAAAGGAGATTCCCCGACCAGCTGTAGAAAAGAGGACTGCCCCATCGACCTCCGATAAAGATGCAACCATGAGAACGGCTAAAAAAAGAGTTGAGAAAGAACTGACTCCACTAAAACCTATGAGGAAAACAAAAATCTCTAAGGTAAATCATGCTACAGAAGAAGATGACTTTCTCCTAGAAAATTAGACCTCCGAACCATTAGTAAAGGAGATCCACCAACCAACCGTACAGAAGGTGACCCCTAGGACAGAAGAGGAGATCCCACACACTGAAGAGGACACCTACGACACAGAAGAGCAGAACCTTAGCACTGGAAAGGTTACCCCTCGCTCAAAAGACAAGCCTCCCGTTGTAGAACAACAAGCGCCAGACAACAACTTACAGCAATTCCGTGAAAAGTTTGAGGAACTGAATATGAATGAGAAACTTTTTTATATTTCAAGTAAGAAAGCTGAGATATTTTTCAAAAATGCATGATGATTTTTTTTTCTATGTTTGCATGAATTTGCAGTAAAGAAATATCGAATTCTCTTAACACAAATTTAAAAAAAAAAAAAAAAAAAAGTATCCTTAGGGCCTACAAGTAAAATGTTGGATAACAGCTATGCTTCTGTTGGGTGAAGACTTTTTTTTTCCACTCAGATAAAAAGAGACTCAAAATAAATAGTAACAGTCATATCCGTAAAAGAAGCTTTTTTATGTGTATTGTGCTTGAAATTTTATGTAAAAATTGACAAAATTTGTCTTTCAGAATAATTTTTTAAGCTTCTTTGTATGACAAGCCAGCGAGATCCATGAGCATACACTATATTCTAATAAAGTTTCACTATTTTCATCTGAAACTCTAACAAGGAACATCTCTTTACTATCTTTCTGTTCAAAAATGACTAATCTAGAGGGTGAAGTCGGTATTGTCTTTAAGTCTTGAGAGCAGCCAATGAATAATTACAACAAATAAGTCAGGAGAAATTAAAAAAAAGTAATTATTATGTTATGATTTTTTCCCCCGCAGATTCACTGAGAGTGATGAACCGTAACTTGAAGGTTGTTGTGAAGACAACCAATTCCCACTCATCAATTTTGGAGAAACTGTGTCGAAAGGCAAATCCGGCAACTGAAGACCTGAATCAGCTTATTGAAAAGCTACCATTTAACTTTCCGATGCTCCATAGTTCTGAGTTTCTAGATTTAAATAAGAAAATTGCAATGATGATTGACGAAAAAGTGAATGAAGAGTTCGATGCTGAGTTCCGGGATGAACTGGTCAGTTCCTTATTTCTTTCCACCTTCTTATGTTTTTATTGCTACTCAAGCTGGTTTCAAGATGGCAAATCACTGTTGAGCAATCACATGTAACTGGATAATGCAATCGAGTCAGGAATAAAGCCGATCTCTTCCAGGGTTGCAAAGGTCAGGGAAAAGGTAGGGAACTAGCTGGAACCTGTGACAGTAGTGTGTTTCAGTATTGTCGAGTATTGGGAACAGGGAATGTAATCACCAATAGTTAGAGAATTTTGATTTTTATTAAATTTGCAACCCTGTCTTCAAGTTTGGTTTCTGCCTTTCACTAACAACGGTAAAATTGGAAACTGTGAAAAAATTTGTGGCTTGTTAAGAAATGCTTTTTATCCGTAAAAAGTAAAAAATGAAAGAAAAATATACTACCAGAGGCCGAGCTTTAATAATTACATACATTAATTCTTCCGTATAAGAGGAAGTTCTTGCCTGTTTTTTTGAGTGTAGACCATATCATGACAATTTTCAACTCAAGTAAATCAGAAAAAGTTCATTTTTTCAAAATGAGAGGATTCTCTGCTATGAACAAATTAAGAAACAAGTAAAGTAACATATTTTTCTTTCTAACTCTTGAGTTCACTGAGTTACTTAAAGTAGATTGCAAAACCTTTTTTATGCATACATTCAATTAAGACGGAATCTTCTTTTATTTTTTTCCAGAAAATTGTTTTGCGGCAGCATAATGGAGGTTCACTTGTCGAGTCTGTGAACAACATTTTCGGCTTCCTAATGGAGTCATACTCGCGCGCCACTACTCGCTCAAAGGGCATAAAGGAAAGCGCAAATTTGTCGATTACGAGATTTGTGACATCATTCTCGGTAAGTTTTTCTCTGTTCCATTTGAAGAATATTTTGTGCCCTTGAAAATTTTTGCCATTATCCTTTGTAAACTTGAAGTTTCTGAATGCTCTTGGAGCTGCATAAATTCACAATTAAACCAAATTTCCCCTAAAAATTGGCCACTTCTTAAATGTTCTTAAGTAAATTTACAAAACTTTTCAAAGACCAGGGAGTTTCACAGTAGAATACAAAATTTTTGGAATTCATAAAGAAATTAATGCTACCCTACTTTTAAAATGAATGAAAAATTCCAGAAACTTAATTGTTGGTCATTGTACCAGTAGATGTGCATAATCAATCGAGCACTGTATACATTTTTTGACACACTTATTGTGTTCGCCTTTCAAATATTCTCTGTGCACTTCATCCGGACGACGGCAGGCCTGCTTGCCAAAAAAAGATGGCTTGGTGGCTGGGCCATGCCCAGGAGAGAATTCGGGTGAAGAACGAAAAACGTGCTAGAGTGTCCTTACCCAAGTAACATTTTGTAACGAAATTATTGAAATAAAAGTGCAACATTGTTGCAATTAAGTTTCAATTTTTTTTCTATCGAGTTGCAATTTTCATACAACATTTTGTCGATTTCTGCCGATTTTCGGCGATAATATCGAAAGAAAAATTACAACTTTATTGCAACAATGTTGCAATTTTAAATTTTCAAAATTTTCTGAAAAATCACAAAATTTCGAATTCGTGACGTTGAGAAAATTCGTCAATACTTCCGAATTTTAGCGACGTTGCCGAAATTCATGAAAAATTCCAAATTTTGCGGCGTTGCTAAAATTCGTTTGAAAATTCCGAATTTTCAGTAAATTTTGCAAATTCACCAAAATATGCTAACTATTGAAAACTTAAACGGATTCTCTGTAAACTACAAAATTTAAAGAAACTCTTAAATGTTCGTATCCTTGCAATAATTCACAATTTTTATTCCTTTTTAATTTTTTTCTGGTTTAATTATTTGTTTTAATTTTAAGTTTTAAAGTTAAATTAAGTTTAAAGGAATTTTTCTTAGGTCAAGAAACATAGCCTTTTCAAAAATGTTTAAGGAATAAGGAGAGTACAACTGTGGGATAGAATTACAAAGCAATTTAATAGTTTTAGTCAACCATAAAAAAGGTAAAATGACTTAAACAGTCTTAAAAAGTGCACAAGGAAACAATGACGGTAGAAAAATAATACAGCAAAAATAAATGCTATTTAGCAAGAACAAACTAAATTTTGACTTATTCCTAGAAGTTAGGTACAGTATAAGAGCTATAAGGTAACCAAAATGGGTAATCAAAATTTAAAAAATATTTAATTTTTAGCACTGTTTGAATCACATTAATTATTGACTAAATTAAAGTAGAAAATAGACAACAAACTTTAATAAAGCTAAAGGCAAACTGTCAAGTATCACATAGAACTTAAGTTTATTTTGAACTTAATTCAGCCATGATCTGTAAATCACAAACTAATGGCATTGCATTATGCACTTACTTGCAAACTACTTTGCGCCTTCCCTCCCGAGCACAGTAATCACCATATTAATTTCAAATATTACTGCATTCATTGCCAGGATAGCAAGGAGTGTTATTTAATGATAGTTTAAAGTGCGTTTTTGAATTCCCAAAAATAGATATTTATTTGAACAACTTGAGAGTGAAAATAGGAAGAGCAGAAGTTTGAAAGTGCTCTTTTTTAAGTAAATGATTTTTACAGGACTTACTTAAAACACTTCTATAGCTTTAAAAACACGCTATAAGGTCAGTATAGCTTTAAACAGATCTATAAAAATCATCTAAAAAAGAGCACTTTCAAAGTTCTACCTTAGCTACCTGAGTAGTTTTTTACCCAAGAGGAAAACAAAACTAATGGCAAATACCAAAAAAAATTAAAAAAAAGTTAAACACAAACTGTCAAGAGACCATTATAAAATTAATGAGATTAAATTATGTATCTCTTTAGGAACTAATAAAGCAGCCTTAGAAATTCAACTGATGATGAGAGCGTAAAAATAGGAAGAGCAAAAGTTTGAAAGTGCTTTTTTTTAAAATAAATGATTTTTACAGGACTTATTTAAAACACTTCTATAGCTTTAATAACACATTATAAGGTCAGTTGTGAAAAAGAGGAAAAATACTGATATTATTAATCTTCTATATCTTAAAACGGATCTATAAAAATCATCTAAAAAAGAGCACTTTCAAAGTTCTACCTTTGCTACCTATGTAGTTTTTTAACCAAGAGGAAACAAAACTAGTGGCAAATACCAAAAAAAATTCAAAAAAAGTTAAACACAAACTGTCAAGAGACCATTATAAAATTAATGAGATTAAATTATGTATCTCTTTAGGAACTAATAAATTAGCAACATCAAAAATAATCCGAAAAAATTAAGGACAAACTGTCAAAAAATCTCAATCAAATGATTCAAATTAATGACATCATGAGGCTTTACTTCTTTGATGGGGGCTTCAATGAAACCGGCTTCTTGTTCATTCCGGTAAGGAAAGGTCCTAGTGTTCCATTCACATCAGCCTTGAAATTGGTGTGATGGTTTTCCCATAAAAGTTTCACCACCTCTGCAACAAGCGAAAAAATAGTATTGAAACAGACCGGATTTTATTGCGCCTAGCAAGATATTAGAAATTCAGGTGAATTAAAAGGGAAGAAAAGAAAACGTAACCTGACACACACGCACACCCTTACCAGACAAAAATCCTAATGTTGAAAGGAATTAACGATACACAATCTTTGCAATTTGATGCTGCTTAACAGGTTTTTATTTTCCACTACTCAAATGTTAATTTCTTCAGGCAGTGCATGTTTTTCACCTCTCTGAAGAAGCCTGAATAAAACTTTCAACAAAGAAAAATTTTGTTTACTATTCAGACTATAAAATAAAGCAAATGAAAAAATACTAGTAATACTGCGGGAACAAATGAAAATGAAATTAGTTTCTTTTTCCCTCAAAATGTATAAGGTTCCATTATGATTTAAATATTATTTCTATAGCAGAGGTAAACTGAAAATTGAGACTTACCAATGATGACTGAGTATGCCTGTAGCTGGTCGAATGCCCGTTTGGTTTCAGCAGAGCCCTTTGCATGACCTCCATGCAGCGAAAATAGGGCGAGAATCTTGTTTGAGAACAACTCTCTGGCCATTCCTCTTGCCGTGGCAGTGAGGTTTGAATCGTTGCGATGCATCCATGCAAAACCTTTCACCTGGAGGAAAATTAAACCATCGCTCATTAATTGACTGAAAATTTGGTTTCATTAAGGCCCCAAGCAAGTGCTTAATTATAGAACAGCAAGTTCATCTGGGTAGACCATTCAAGAAAAACAGAAAAAATGGAAAAAAGGTCATATTTTCTATTTTTATCAGGGGTATTTTGGTGGATAGCTTTGGGTACTACTTTGTTCATCCAAACATTTTTCTTTTCAACCTCTTTCACTACCATACAGACTGAGCCTGGAGAAGCGTAACCAGGGTATTGAAAATCAGATCAGGTCCTGAAAGACCGAGTGGGCCAGAATGGCGCTAAAAATTCTTCTCTCCATTTAAACTCCAAAGTGAGGACTTAGCTTTTCTTAATACAGTCAGTAAATACTTTTAGAAATATAGAACTCAAGATTAGGAAGGTAAGGGCTGAAGTTCTAAGAAAATCCTGGAAAAATGTCATTGTGCTTCTCGTCGGCTATTTTGATTTTTACACTTACAATTAAATTTGTCCACCTTTTTATTGTTATAGAAAAAATGGTTTCTGTAATACAAAATAAAAAAAATTAAATTATTTTTACCACACCAGTTTTTGATGGGTTGGGCTTTTAATGACTGTAAATATACTTACAACTTCATCCTTAATAGTGCCTTCTTTCAATTTCAGTTTATCTTCTAGCTTCTCCAATTTCTCTTCAGTGTCAATGGTCAATAACGCTTCAATCTCGTCTGGAATGTACGCTTCTGTTATTTTGGCAGCTTCTACTTTGCCTTTGCTATGTCGTAACTTTTTCAAGCGGTAAATTATTTCCTCTGTGTGAGCTAAAGGAGACAAAAACAATAACTTTAATTCCTCTATACTTTAAAAGCAAATTAAAAACTATTACAAAAATAACTTTCATTGCACAGTTAAGATGGAGAGCTGAAGGGTCCCAGTTTTTGGTACTACTTTCTGAGCTGGATTGCGAAAATGAAAATGTTGACGTTTTAGCTGAAACTTGGCAAAGAGTATTTGATTTGAAAAAAACTAAAGGATTAAAGAAACAATTATTAAATAAAATTGTCTTCGTCACTTGAGAAATACTCCTCTCACTTATTGAAAAATCTTCTGACTTTCTTCGGACTCACAAAAAACAATAAAATGAATGCAAGCACTTACCGCTTATTGAGCATAAAGTATGCAAAATAGCTTCTTCAGGCTCACACTTCAGACGAAAGCCACATGGGTGTTTAACTTTTTTCCCTTGTTTGCAACGGATTTTGGTAAGCTTTCCATGAGACAAATGTTTATTTGCAGACTCGAATGGTTTCAATGGGGATCTTTTCGTGTCAAAAAGCTGTTTCTTTACTGAATTGATCCTAGGAGAATGCGAAGAACCAGTTTTTGAAGGTGTTCCTAGATCAACAGGACCGTTAGTATCAACTTCCAAAAATGCAATCTCTGCTTCACTGGTATTCGTTTCTTTGATGGATTCGGGAGCAGGTGGCGGGGGTACATCTTTTACTCGTTTCAAGTGTTTGTCAACTTCTGCTTTTGCTGCAGCCTTGCTGGCTTCAGCTTTCGAGGGCTTTGTCACTGGTTCTTCCTCACTACTCGACTCATGATCATCGGAACTTGACAATTTTGCCTTGCGTTTTGACAGCTTTCTTTTCGATGACTTTTTCTTTGACTTCCTTTTTGGTGACTTCCTTTTTGGTGACTTCCTTTTTCTTGATTTGCGCCTTGTATTTTGGTCTTCTTCGCTCTCTGAGGTGCTCTTTGAGGCACTCTCCGAGGAACTCTCTGAGGAACTCTCGGCATCCGTGAAAGTGCGTTTTGGAATTTTGGTTCTTGCACCTCTTCCCTTCAGCTCTCGTTCAGATGAGGATCTAGTTTTAAGTCCACGCATAAGCCGGCGAGAATCGTCATACGCCACATCAAAACTGTCTGCAACAAAAAAAGGACATTAACTCAACATAGATAAATGATGTGAACAAGATGTAATTCTTGTTGTGAACAAACTTTTTCTATTTTATCATCAGATTACACCTAAAAAGTTTATCATACAGTATTTCATTAATTCTGAGCATGCTTTTGAATTAAGATTGAATAGTCTCATAACAGGTGCACACATTTAAACAACTTGTTACCTAATATTTTTTGAAGTTTTCTGTGATTTTTATTCACCCTAAATTATTCCGTACAAATTTCAAGTAATAATATTCGTTACTTTTTCTTTACAAAAATAAAATATGAACGGAGAATTTAAAATTGTAATTTTTCGTAATTGAGTTCCCTACTCTAAGAATTTACTCATTGATTAGCTGATTAGTAGTCTGTAGGTCTTGTCTTTCATTGGTTCGGACATGGTTCTAGGCAATTGATATTACCTAGTGGTGCTGAGCAAGCCTTGCATTTTTCGATAGGATAAAATAAAATTCAGCCACCAAAACTCATCTATTGTAGGAACCTACTTACCATACGGTTCTTTAATAACTTTAATTTTCAATACTTCATAGGCACATTTGATATCTTCTCCTTTCATGGCCATTGCCCAGATTGCTGAAGGCTTGAGCAAAGGATATTTCATTTCCTTTTTGGACGGTAAAATCCATGAACTGGGAACAGCATCCAGCTCTTCGCTCTCGCGTTTTTCGACAACAGCGAACATTTTGAGGAAACTGTGAAAAGTATAAAAAAAAAGAAAATAGTTCACTAAGGGCAATAATACAAATTTGCACGAATAAATTGAAGATTTGGTCAAAATAAAGATGAAATAACTGCATTTGAAATCAAGCTTTCAGAAAAAGTTAACATTTTTCAGTCAAGGTAATAGGTAATTTTTAAATATTACTTTCAGCATGCTACAAAAGTTCATTACCATCACATAAAATGATTTTAATGGTTTTCTATCAACAAACTGAATCCTTCATATTTTATGGGCAACCAGATGGGTTGTTGGGTGGTAAAAGTTTCTGCTCCTCTCCTGGTTCAAATTTAACATTTTCAAAGCTAGCTATATTAATAGGTAATTAAAACGATAAAATGATGTCTTACCTGAAGTAATGTCAATGTATGAGTATTTATGTGCCAGGTACACTTGGGTGCCAAACTGTCACATCACATAAATTGTCGCTGCTCTGACGTAAGGACGTATCTCGATATCCAGATGAGCCCCCGAAAGCATGGAGTTATCTCGGAGTTATCACATGGAAACTGAAATACGCCCTTACGTCAGAAGAGCGACAAGATGAGGAATAAAACAATCGTCAGTACTTGCTGATTTGACAGTGATGACCAAGGAGAAACCATACAAAATAGCTAATTTTAAATCAATGAATTTAAACAGGGCCCTTTTTCAAAATCAATGAAATTAAGAATGGATACGACTATAAACAATAAAAATCTATGAAACAAATCGATGGCTAAACTTGAAAACAGCGTAGGTATCTTGATTGCGACCTGTCAAAATCTCCGATCACCTATTATTTTTCAAAAAGAAAATGAGAAATATTTTTGAATGAATGAAGAAAAATTACGTTACCTTTCAAAATGAACTATTGGTAAGTAAGTTTACTTTAAAGAAATAAAACTTGGACAGATATTTGCAACGTCGCAAACCGTGATATGCAAATTTCAAATTTAGCCATCAAAATGAAACTCAGCAAGAAACCATTAAAATAAGCAATGCAGCAGAGGAAGCAAGACCGTTTCTCCAGTGCCATCAGGAAGTCCCATATACTGAGTTTCAATTGTAGATACAGTCCAAGATCGCAAATCAGAGAACCTACTGCCTTTAAAAATGCCCAACTCAGTGCTATCCATGTGCGGGGCCCCATAGTAAGATGTTAAGTCCGTGAAAAAGCGACCTATCAGAACACGTTCGCCTTCCTGAGAAAACGCAAAGTTTTCTATCTTTACAATATACCCATTCGATAAACGACAATAACAATCAGCATCCTTTAAAATAGAAAAATTGAAGTTTGCAGAAACAGCTTTCTTATACTGTGGATTGACACAGGATGGAAGAAGAGGCCCCTCATCATGTTGCATTTTAAATTCTAGCTCCTGTGGCTGAGGGTTAGTAGGGCCATAAACTGTCTCTAATGCCTTACAACGGCTTCTTTCCTCTAGTCGTTTTGCCATTTGTGCCAAAGATCTAGCAGGACCTCTGCAAAGTCTCTTAAGTTTGCGAAGGAAATTTTCAAACGGGAAAGTAGAAATGTCGTTAAGAGTAAAGGAAGGGAAAAACTCAGCAAAATAGTCAGCAACATCCACTAAATGGATGAGAGCATGGAAAGTAAACGAAACAAATTCTGCGCCATAAACCTCAGGAGTCTTTTCCACAAAATGAACAAGCAAACTACGAGCATAATTTCTCAAATTTTGAGAGGAACAAGTTTTCCGACAGTATAGAATGAAGGTAGCAACATGCAGGTGAATGAAATGTTTATACTTCTCAGGGGACAGATATTTCTTTAAAATTACCGGGCCGACATATAAAAGGAACAATCTATACTCTTTGGCCTTCCACTTTATGGAAATTTTGTCCTTTTTTTTGCTCATTTTGATGGCCTCCAATTTTCTCTTGAAGAAGGTTGGAATATGAGCTTTGTAGTTTTTAACATCATTTAAAAAATCAGTGCGCTGAGCGACCGAGAACTTATGAGGTAACAGTCCGTTTAGCCATGTTGAAACAAGGGTCTTCATGACCCCCTGAAACAACAAGTGCATCGGGTCCAAAATGAGTGATTTAACAAAATCAATTTCCCCAATCTCTTCTAACGGAGTTGACTTATCAGGAGGGCGATATTCAGGATCGTCTCTCATTCGAAATTCTGCATCTGTTCGTGGGGGACTGGTTGTCTCTAGATATACTCGTCGGCCTTTAAAAGTGAATCCCACGACTTTGCACCAAGCACAGCAAGAAAATCCACCGTGATGTTTCGTACCAGTAATGAAGTTCCTGGCAGGGGTGTCGCAACAAATTCCTAAAGTAGGGTTAATAGTTATTAATCGACCATTATACGTGTAACCATGCTCCAGAAGTTCTTTCAACTCGTCAACAAATGCCCTTAAATAGCCATTCAAATCTGCAGGTTTCTCACAACCAGCATAGATTCCTAAGGGGAAAACCACATTTTTCAGTATATCGAAGGTTGGAAAGCACACTAGAATTGGCCACGTTTCAGAAAAATTGCTCTCGGCAACAGAAAAGCCATCAAAACAAAACACCATGAAGAGAGTTGTAACTGTGATTGGTAATAGAGACAGAACATATGACAAATGAGTCTTGAAGCCAATATTGTAGTAATGGCCTGGAGGAACTGGTGTTAAACCAACTTTCTCAGAAGGGGTATGCAAAATTGTACGGGCATCAATGTGGAGAGAAGCAAAGCAATTAGGATGACTGTTACGCAACCGTCGCAGGAGATCACTTGTCGCCAAATTCGTGATATTGTGTGCAATCGCCCACTCACGAACCGCTGTCTCAACACGAAGAACCTCATCATCACCCTCATCATTATCTGGCTCAAAATAGTCATCTTCAGAGAGGGAACTGCCAATAGAAGATACATCGGAAGCCGAATCAGAATCTACTTCACTATTCGACGAACTATCGCCATGATCTGGATTTGGGGACGGAGGAGCATCTACAGGGTCATTAATATCCTCAGGAATTGGATCGGGAAATGGAGGAGCATCTACAAGGTCATTAATATCCTCAGGAATTGGATCGGGAAATGGAGGAGGAGCTACTGGATCATTATTTTCCACACTGGAAGGTGAAGATGAAGAGGAGGAAGGTGAAACCGAACCAGTGTTACTACTACTACTGCTGTGGCTGATATCAGAGTCAGACTCTTGGCTAGAAGAGTCCTCATTCAATCTTCTCCTTTTGATGGTTCTCTCTGATAATTTCCCAAATTTTTCGGGACGGTGATAATTGCGTCGAGACATTAGGACAAAACAAAATTAAAATACAGTCATCAACATCAAAAAACAAGTACTTAACAATTGAAGAATTCCGTTAATTCCGTGCAGTTTCCGCCATCTTGGTTAGCGAACCGGCATCACATCAACACTTCAGGAGAACTTCCGAACTTACACAGTTACACCAAAGTTTCTTCACACACAGTTTCTGAATTACATAGTTTATTCCGCGTAAAACACGTAAAACATGATAAACTTGTATAGATAAATCAAGCGCGATGAAGGCAAATCCCAGGCACGAGGCTACGAACGACAACGAACAAAAGCAGGCAGGGCGCAGAGCGAGCGAAGCGTACAAATTCCGTTGGAGGTGCGCGAGCGGCGAGCCACGCAGACGGACAAATTCTATAGACCGTATTCGATAACGGTTCGATGTATCGTTTGGTTCAAAACAATAGAACATAACCTCAAACCAAACTCTAAGGATTTTAATTGGAAAAGCTGAAAATGAGAAAATTCCTGACAATTTCACTTTGCATTGGCATTTGGTACTCAAAAGAATAAAAAATCTGTTTCAAAAGATCCGTTCTCTCAGATTTCTGAATTTACTTTTGAGGCTATGTTTATGTTTTGAACCAATCGATATCGATACAATCTCACCCGTTTGATGTATCGAATACGATCTATTGGTCCATTATAGCGCGACGCGAATGCGGTCTGGCGGCAGGAGCAGCAGTATGGCGGTATGTTGTCGCGAGACTGCAAGAGTCGTGATTTTATCGCAATGAAGTTGCGATTCTCCGCGCCCCTTGCATCACGCGAATAGGCAACATCCACGCCATTCGATAAGTTGCGATTTTCTTACTACACGAGTACAACATATTGCAACTCATGCTACTTGGGTAGAAAGTATCGACACACCCATCTTCATAAAATCATTAGAGTCAAACTCTAGAGCATAAAATGACTTCACATCTGAAGATAGAGAAGAATTTATGCATTAGAAAATGATTTTCTTTGAAGACAGAAATTATTTTTAAGTAATATCTATATTTATGTTCCTCTTTTCTCCTATGCTTTGTTTCATAATATGACTTATTTTTACTGACCAAAATTTACCCCATTACATTTGTTTGGGTCCTTAGTATGTTACTACTCCTGTGTCTTATGTTGTCTAGAGTTGAGCGATTAATCGGAAAAAACCGATTATAGTTGTCGATTAATCGATTTTTAACTTTGTCTCATGTGCCAAGATGTACAATCTGGTTGTATGCAGCACGCAAGTTTAGCAACCATATCCAAATACCTACCTCTCTTGTTGCTACCAATTGTGATCGTGATTTGATGCGATGCTAAATAAAATACCTGATCTAATTTTGGAAAAACGTTATGAATATAATTCAAATGCTTGAAATCACTTTGATGAAAAATTCAATGTAATTTTTACTTAAATTTAGGTTTAGGTTAGGTTATTACCTGTTGCTGCGTGTTGGTTTGTTTTTCTCCATTTTCATGGAGTTTTGAGAGACCATTTTTCAATGATTCAATATTTCGATTAATTAATCGATTATCAACCACCAATTAGTCGATTTGAAACGATTACCTCATTCGCGATTAATCGGTTAGTTCATTAATCGCCCAACCCTAATGTTGTCTACTGTTCTAATTTGTTTCTTTTTTATGTTTCTTATTTTTTTTGAAAAATTTGATGAAAAATTCAATGTAATATTTACTTAAATTTAAGTTTAGGTTAGGTTATCACCTGTTGCCGCGTGTTGGTTTGTTTTTCTCCATTTTCATGGAGTTTTGAGCGACCATTTTTCAATTATTCAATATTTCGATTAATTAATCGATTATCAACCACCAACTAGTCGATTTGAAACGATTACCTCATTCGCGATTAATCGATTAGTTCATTAATCGCCCTACCCTAATGTTTTCTACTGTTCTAATTTGTTTCTTTTTTATGTTTCTTATTTTTTTATTTTTCGTGTATTCGTTCGTTTATTATGCAACCTGAAAATACATTTTGTCATAATTATTATTCAATGTCTTGTATTTTCTGAATATTTAAGCAAAAAGCCTCATGATTCAATTGCTGCATAATAGCTTGGTCAATTTCACATGGATGATAAAGCGTTTAGATATACCTCGGATTCCAATCGTGTAAACTTACCTTGTGTCAAATAATTTTTAGAACCGGGTGGCATTAAGCAGAATCCACCTGACTGCATTACATGTTGCCTGATTTCTT